CGCTGGGGCGTAGATTTTTTGTGGTCTGACCAGTTTTACTCAGAGTTTATTTCCGCACACTTTGCTTCTAGTTTTTTAACGTGAGAAGGTGTTGGGCATAAAGAATGTCTAGCGAATAGATACTCTTGCCAGCCCTCGAGTGAGGCCCGACCCCTTGCCGTTGCTGGTGTCGGGGGCTCGATAGCAAAATTGATAAGAGAAAACATGCGAATATAAGGGCAGCCTATTGGCGTTGGACCTACCTTGATGGCACAAGTGATGGGTTCAGGGAGCTCTTACCGGACATGTTCGAGTGGAATCCGAGTCCGCCGTTGCTGGTAGATCCACCGATGGGCTGCAGGTCGATCGGCTTGAAGTGGGTCTACAAGGTGAAGCGGGATTAGCGCGGTGCCATTGTCAAGTACATGGCTCGGCTCATCGTCCATGGCTTCGTGCAGCGTGAGGGCATCGACTTCGAGGAAGTCTTTGCTCCGGTGGCGCGAATGGAGTCCGTTCACTTGCTGTTGGCCATGGCAGCAGCGAAGGATTGATGTGTCCATCACCTCGACGTCAAGTCTGCATTCCTCAATGGCGAGCTCGCGGAGACGGTCTTCGTCAAGCAAGCTCTGGGCTTCGCCATCAAGGGCGCTGAGCACATGGTGCTCAAGCTGCGCAAGGCGCTCTACGGGCTACGGCAGGCCCCTCGGGCGTGGAACGCCGAACTCGATGCCACCTTGGGCGAGCATGGGTTCACTCGCTGTGCTACAGAGCACACACTCTACATGCGGTGATAGGGGAAGGAAGAGCTCATCGTCGGCATGTATGTGGATGACCTAATCATCACCGGAGCACGAGCAGAGGATATCGACGGTTTCAAGCATGAGATGGAGGCTCGTTTCAAGATGCGCGATCTCGGCGCGCTCTTCTACTACTTCGGCATCGAGGTGAGGCAGGGGAAGCATAGCATCTCCCTAGGTCAGCGCGCCTACGCGGAGAAGCTGCTGGAGCGTGGTGGCATGGCGAAGTGCAAGCTGTGCGTGACTCCGATGGAGGAGCGGCTGAAGCTGAGCAAGCACAGCACTACTGCAAAGGTGGACGCGACGCGCTATCGGAGTATCATCGGTGGGCTGCGCTACCTCACTCATACCTGACCGGACATTGCGTTCGCGGTTGGGTACGCCAGCCGTTTCATGGAGGACCCGCGCGAAGATCACTGGTCGACAGTGAAAAGGTTGCTGCGCTACATCAAGGGGACGCTCGATCAAGCGATCATCTTCCCCAAGAGTGGTGGCAAGGGAGGGTTGCGGCTCACGGTGTTCAGTGAGGCACCCCCAAGACAAAGGAAGGTGAGTCGGAGCTCACTGTTTTCAGCGATGCGGACATGGCGGGCGACATTGATGGGCGACGAAGCACCTCCGGCGTGCTCGTCTTCTTTGGAGCGGCCCCCATTGCTTGGTTGTCGCTGAAGCAAAAGATCATGGCGCTATCGACGTGTGAGGCAGAGTACGTCGCAGCGACCACGGCGGCGTGCCAGGCTGTCTAGCTGCGCCGGCTGCTGGGCAAGCTGACCGGCAAGGAAGCTCACCCGCCAGCTCTGATGGTGGACAACCAGCCCGCCATCGCCTTCGCCAAGAACCCTGTCCTCCACGACCGGAGCAAGCACATCGACATCAAGTTCCACTTCCTCCGGGACTGCATCGATGGAGGGCAGATCATCATCGAGTTTGTCGAGACCGGCAGACAGCTCGCTGACATCCTCACCAAGTCACTCGGACGCCTGCGGTTCATGGAGTTGAGGAAGATGATTGGCATGGATGAGGTCAAGACATCGGGCTAGCAGCAGGATTAGAGGAAGAATTGTTAGACATAATCTGCTGCTCCCTATTCTCTCCTTGGTTGGAGACTGGTCGGCTTGGCCGACCACTCCCTATTGGGAGTTGAGGACTGATCGGCTCTGCCGACTAGTTCTTGTAGTAGCAGTATTGCAATAGGCCACCTCTGGTATATTAGTTGGTAGCTATTACATCAACCATGTCTTGGTAGTTGGCTGAGGTAAGCTTTGTACTGCTAAGAGTAGTTGGTATACTCTATACCTTAGGAGTAGGTAGTTGGTGTATCATGTATCTTAGAAGTAGATAGTTGGTGTACTCTTATACTTAGGAGTAGATAGTTGGTTAACAACTATGTACCTGGTAGAGGTACAACTAGAGTTGTATGTATTTCATCCAAAGAGTAATGGAATACTTAGTCCAGTTGCCACAAACTAAAGGATAGGGCTTCGGCCTACGTTAGTGCTTGTGTTGAGTGTGTGTGTGTTGTTCTTAACCTCTTCTTCTACCTTTAGCCATAGTAAGTAAATATATGTGCTGGTGCATCTCGGGATGAATAGATGTTACCGGCTACTGCTTCAAGAGTCCAATTTGCTCCGGTCCTTCTAAAAGTCTGTACAACACAACACCTCGTGAGTTTACTTTTTTATATATCATACTATAACCAAAAGTGTTTCGGACAAGCTCTGTCGGGTACTTTTTGTTACGAAGCATTTTTATAGCTTTATTAGAAAGACAACTATATACAATCCTGGTTGATGCTCCTATTTTACAGGTTTTACCCTGGCAAAAAGCTATGGATCTGAATGGCGGATAAGTGTAGCTCCTATTCTGTAACTTTCCCATAAGAATTCTTTAAAAAGGATCAACTATGGGTATAAGTATAAATTGCCCTTTTTTGCTCCCATGCTTATGCATGTCCGCACAAGTTCACCATCAAAGGTATATACAATTCAAGGCACACCAAAGGTGACAAAAATGAAGCAAGACTACACTGCTAGGTCGTTGACTGGAGAGCCCAAAATTAAGAGTGCTAAGCCCGATTGGTTGCTCTGGTTGGTGAGGTGTCATCATTAACGACATCCTTATCACTAAAACATCATAAGAAAATAATTTTCTTCTTCCTTTTGCTCTTACATTTCAGTGACTATCTATGTCCACGTTAGGAGATTTAAGTGAGCCCTGCTCCCCTCAGTCAGCTCCGTCTCTGGCCATGGTGCCGATGCATTTGGTCCCAGCTTAATTGCTGTTTAGGAATAGTTGACTCAGACAGTGATCTACATGGAACTCAGTCCACAAGGGATGTTAAGGTGTAGTAGTTCAGTTTGCTTCTTCTTCCACACAAGATTTTTTACCCCCAAAAAAGTTGTGAAGTCCTAAACCGCCTGGGGACTGTCACCGTCGCCAAATCGTTGGGAAATACGGGCAGCGGTCCGTGTCCACACCGTGCCCCGAGGCTACCTCGGCGTAGTAGGGGGACTGAGTCCGTCAGCCTATTCGGTTGACTGGTTCGTATTGTTGCTGGTTTATTTATGTGAGAGGGAAATACTGCTGGCTGGTTCATTGAAACAGTGTTCATGTGAGGGGGCTGGCCAGCCCAGCCAGCCTCAGCCGAACACAAGATTTGATGGGACGCGGATGGCGGGCGACGCCCAATACACTGCACCGGAAGATGGTCGGTCGGCAGATGGCTGATCGGCTCAATGGCGCGACGCCATTTGTGCGACTAATGCTTCACCACACGGTCCATTCCTCGCCTGTGGTTAATTGGAACTGAAGTCTGCCCATGCATGAAGGGACTGGATTTGACTTTCTACATTTATTTGTTCTCATCAGTACTTAGTTCCCTTTGGATATGGATGTCAAGTGGTGGAGTACTTCAAATTCAAGAGAATGAAATTGACATGACGTAACTGGGATCAAGGAGCAATCCAAAACAAATAGGTCACGTAGGCCCCCAATCTTTTTTTTTTGGGGGGGTATTATTATCAAATTGGTTCCCAATCTTCCGTGCTGAGGATTTGAGTGTGTTGGCTGAGGGGGGCCCAAGAATAGCATGCGAACGCAAGGGATGCGTATGCCTGCGTATAATTTAGAGCATTGCAGCAGCGGTGGTGATCGCGTGGTGCGTGCAACACGGGATATGGTCAGCTTTACCTTTCGCGCTGGAGCTCTCCGGTTAGTGCGAGAAGAGTGCTGACTAGGAGTGACAGTGCGTCGGCACACGTGGCCCAATGCTAACTGGAGGCCGAGCTTTGCACGTACTAGTGCCGGTTGGAGGAGCACAAAGTCAGCAGCAAGCCATGAAAAAGGAGACGGAGCCTCCAGCAAGCCCTAGCCTTTTTTCTCTGCATCCTCATCCTATGCGAGGAGATGGTGATTGGAGCTGAACCTCATGATGGCCGCAAGACAGAGCCTGGAACTAACAAATCACGCACCAGATCTTGATAGCGCCAAAGGAAAGACTCGGGGGAATGAGTTTGGCGCACGATTGGGGAAGAAAGATCCCGAAATAAAGATAGGATTGGGTTGAGCATGGAAATACAAATACTTGGGGGTCAACTTGTTTGTTAGTGTTGACCTACAAATCTGCTCTCTTTTTTAGTGGGAAATCATGCACTTGCATGTTACACACACAGGCTGATGCGACTTGCCTTGAACCATTGCCGTTCATTCAGTATAAATAAGAAACTTCAACCACCAGTTTTTAACCGTGAAGAAATAGAGTCTACGCCCACAATGCAAACAGGAGATTGATATTACAGGTCACAGCACGCTTTCAGATTTCAACAACCAGAAAAAGCAATCAGAACCTTTGAAATGCAACCAAAGTGCATCATGCACGTTTCTTGCATTGCGTGGACACACATCAATCAAATCATGAACGAGCAGGACCACAACTGATGGCAGAACTATACGAGGATAATATGCACGGGTTTGCGATCAGATAACCCTAGCAAAAGAATTTACCATAACCAGATGGAGACTTTGGCATTTGACCCATCATTCAAAAACTGGTTTCGCACTTTTACCATCCCGTAAAATAGTTTCGCTAGTTTGCCATTATAAAACATGTGCAACCGCGGAAATGCCATTTGGTGACTTTAGATTAAAAAAATGAAAAACGAAGTTTTCTTCCACTCCTACCCCTGCCCTGTTTTCTCCTTATACGTCACTGTTCCGCGTTTGTGGTCAAAACGGATCGACGCAGCAGGTGACACCGTGCGGCACCTCCTCGGCGATGGCATCTTCGGCGCCGACGCCAAGGTGTGGAGGAGGCAGCGCAAGGCGGCCAGCCTCGAGTTCCACTCGGCCGAGTTCCGCGCGCTCACGGCCAGCTCGCTCGTCGAGCTCGTGCACCACCGGCTGCTCCCGTGCTGGCCGACGCGGATGCGTGACGAAGACGGACCCGCTTCCCCTCTGTGCTCCGTGGCCGTCGCGCTCGGCTCGCCTTCCGGCGGGGGAAGCTGCGGCGTCGGCACACCTGAACCTCAGGTGCGGGGCTTGCCGGGTCAGGCCGACGACGGTGCTACTCGTGCCGTGGGAGCACATCTGCCTCTGCGGGCACTGCTCCAACTCCAGTCGCGACGGCGTGGCCATCGCGTGCCCGATGTGTCGTGGCGTCGTCGGCACATGGCTCGCCGAGGCCGCCCCTCGCTGATGGCCCTCGGTCTCACCGTGCCCGTTCGTGACCGAGTCGATGGGCAGGCCCACGAATAGCCTCGCCGGGGCTAGGTCGTCCACCTCGCGACTCTTGTTGCTGTGCTCGCCGGCGCCGAAGAAGCGGCCTACGAGCCCGGCGGCCCCGAGGTCCCTGCTGCAGCCACCATGCCTCGCTGGTGGGAACACGACTCTGCATGGCGAAGGCGAGCGGGCGGTGTTGCCGTGGGGGGCGGGCGGGCGTCGCTGGAGGCTCGCGGCGCTGCCGTGGGGGTGCGCCCGCCGAGGCCGCACTCGGACGCGTCGCGCGCGAGGGAACAGGGGAGGCAGAGTGGAGCATGCTCGTGGCGGCGGGCCGAGGGAGACGGCAAGAGGGCGAGGCCGGCGGCTAAGGAGGTGCACCGGTGTCCGGGCCGTGGATGTGACGGCCGGCGCGACGTGGCGTGGGGGATTGGGATGCGTGGCTCAGAACGTTCAAGAAGGGGAGCTGGTCGCGAGCGCGTCCGCGCAGTCAAGGGCGTGGAGCGCGGTTCGGTGGGCCGGGGTGGCGTGCGTGGCCTTCACGCCGGCGGACGGAAGCAGTGCAACCTCCTCTGTTCGGGCGGAAAAGTAGAGGAGTGGCTCGCATACGGAGAAAGGAGACGGCGCGGTTCGACGGAAGGAAACTGAGAGGTGGCAGGCCTTAGCTAGCGGCGTGGTGGCAGGCCTGTGCCTCGCTCGATCCGTTTCTCCTCCCTTGGTTCCGTCCGTCCGTGTGGTCTCACAGGAAAGAAGGAAAGAGCAAGGGGTAAATGTGGAAGAAAACTTCGTTTTTCATTTTTTTTTTGAGATCTAAAGTCATCAAATGGCATTCCGACGGATTGCACATGTTTCATAATAACAAACTAGCGAAACCATTTTGCGGGATGATAAAAGTGCGAAACCAGTTTTCGATGATGAGTGAAATGCCAAAATCTCAACCAGACGCAGAGCACAGTGGGGCGTATACTGTCTACACCCATGTGGATCAGGTTGAAGCGTCCAGTCATGGACAGAGAGCTGGATAACATATCGTGGGAATCTGATCCATCCTGGTGGCCTAGCAAGCCTTTTTATCCGATGATAGCGGCTACTGTGTGCGTGATTCTTGTTGCCGCATCCACCAAATTCCTCCACAGGCCCCCACCCCCACCATGTGTAGTACATCACACCTTCCATGGTTCCCTTGTCCCCTCTTCCTATCACTTCAGATATTCTCTTGTGGCCGTGAATTGACACCGACCACGACTTCGTATAGGAGCATCGATTAAGCGCGACTCAAGTCGGCAGCTTTGGCTGGAACTGTGGTGTTAATAACTTACAGATTATTATCAGTTCTGTTTTCAGATATGGCTTAGTAACCATACAAGATCATCACTAATTCATCTACTAGCTCTTGACAAATCCCTGATATACGCAGTGCTCCCAAATCCTATGGATCATCTTTTAGAAGAAAATGCAGACTAGCTGCATGCCCGCCGATCACTGCTGCAGCATGAGCCAGCAAATGCAAATTGCCTAGCCACGGCAATAAAAATTCTAGAGCTTGTTCCAAACGCATGAATGCACATTCCATTCTACTCCCTCCATCCCAAAAAAGAATATAAATCTCAATTTTCGATAAGTCAAACATTAACAAGTTTGACTAGGTTTCTAAAAATTGTATCAACATTTGTCTCTCCAAACAGCTTTATTACGAAAAAAAATATTCCGCAATCTAATCATACATTAATACTTATCACGCATCATAAATATTGGTACTTTTGTATATAATTGGTCAAATTTAAAATCGCTTGACTCCTCTAACTCGAAAATTGAGATTTACATTCTCTTTGGGACGGAGAGAGTAAAAAACTTTTGTGGGTGTGCGAAACTGTGAAAGGAAACTGCAAAAGGAAAACAGGCAAAACAGAAGTTGGGGGCTCGATTCTGACTTCTGAGTGATAAATATCATTCTGGATTGCATTAGAAGCAGGTCGAACCAGCAGAACTTCACCAGGACACCAGGTAATTCTCTTTTGTCAGTTATGATCTATACAAGTTTTAGCATTACAATGTTTTCATCAGTAAATCTTATAAGGTAGCCAAACACCGCTAGATCATAACCTTCCTATTATCTTTACTGTTGTTAAGTACCAGGAAAAAGAATTATATTGTGGTGATCCAGCTTCAATATCACTTAGTCAAGGGTAAGCATGCACGTCATACATTCCCCTGAAATTAAATGTCAACATCTGCTTGATATTACCAGGTCGATTTGCAGAACAGCACTGGGCATCTATACATCTTATGGACTGCCTTGGTCCTTCCACATGGGAAGTTGATTTCACAAGCCTTAAATCTGTGAGTAGAGAAAACAGAATCAATTAGTTTGTTTGGCTTGGATTCACATTCTAATCTATAAAGTTTGATAAAAAAAACCCTTACTAGCCACCATGTCTCCTTGATCAAAAGTCAGTGGGCAGCCATTAAGCCAAAATTAGTCCACCCAAAACACAAGATCGTCCCAGAAGATGGTACTCCATAGATTTTCTACCCAGCCATGATGGGATAAACGCCAGTTGTTGAAAAATAAAGAACAGGCTGGCTTAGATCTTGCCCTGATACTGGAAGTGTAATTTATAGTCACGCACCAGATCAGCAAGAGTGGTTCGGCATGGGCCCTCTGGAAAGACAAAGGAAAAAAAAAGAAACAACAGGAAGAGTTATCTAAGAGGTTATCTGTGTGTTCAGAAGTAAAAATCGTCGAGCAGGTTAATAAGGGCTACGGACCACCCAGGTACGTGTGGAGCTGTTGAAAATCACTTTCCTCGCATATATCAATCAGGGAATATACACCAGGTCTCAGGGCCTCATCAATTTCTCTGCCATGTCAGAAGAGCAAGTCTGCTGAAACAAAAGCACATAATGAACAGCTTGACTTGAGTCTAAAGTAGAACATACCGTGTTATCCCTGTCTGAAAAGGACCCTGTCCAGAAAACATGGAAATATAACCAGCAAGAAAGTGCATGGCATGTTTTCCTAGGGTTTCTCTCTGCTGGCGCATCTGCATTGCCCACACAATAGGAGAAAAGTATATTAGTTTTTGTAGGTACATGAAACAAAAATACGCATGCCTCAGTTGCATTGGCATTTCTTTGTGTCACTAATTTTCACTTAGCCAAACTCTTGTCACAGCAAATATCTCAGTAGTCAGTACAAAGCCTACTATTAGCTTTGCTCCACGGTTTTCAGTAAAAAAAAGCCTATTATTAGCATTATCTTCTGGGAAGATAGCTTAACGATGCCAAATACTTCAGCAGAAACAGGATACAGCAGACCACACGGAAACACACAGCCCAACCTTAAGGCCAGACACGTCACACTATCAAAGTAATATTTGTATCATTTCAAATAAAAAAACATAAACATCACTAACCTCTTCATAGATCCTTCTGAAAAAGGAAGCACATTTTAGTGCCTCCTCCATATTCCAAGCAAAATATCCAGCCATGTTAACCATCTTTGAATCAGTGGACTCCAAACAACCGAGCAGTATGCTTACTGAATCCTCCAGGAGTGCCACACATTGCCCAATCTCACTACAGGGAAAGAGGGGTGGGGGTGTTATGATATGAAGACCAAATGCAAAGAACACAAAATCACAGAGAACAAGAGAGTCAAAATCTCTACCGTTGGTGGTGCCGAAGAGTAGTGCATAACAATTTGCAACATGCAGCATAGATATCAACTGAAAATTGTCTATCAAGAATATATTCAACATGATCTGCATGGTGACCTACACTTTGGTTGCAGTACTTTGATAGAAGATGTCTAAACCCTTTGAAGAGTGTCACAGGAACATGCAGGCACTGGGAAACATGGGATGCATCAATTTGAAAAGAATGCCTTCCCACAAATGAAGTGATAACCTCCACACACATTAGAACAGCGGCTCCAGCATCTGGATGGAACACACTACAATGAGGCGGCAGCTTCTGAGTGTAGAAAATATGTAGACTCTGAAGGTGTAGTACAATGTTGAATAAAGCGCCAACTAGGACAGGGACAGTTCTCTTAAAAACACGCTTATTTCCTGCAATATGGGTTGAAGAATAGTCAAAATTCACCTTTTCTCAAACCGGGCTTTCCATATGGATACTCTTCATAGCACAGATGTAATCATGTAAACCCCAGACATAGAAGCAACAGACAATAAATGTTTGCTGCTTCACACACTATTCGTCATCGTATAAGAATTTTAGAAGTTTAGATCAAGGTTCCTAAACAGCATCAACTAGTTCATGTAATGATATGCTAAAATCTGCATAGGTCAGTTAGAAAAGCAGTGAACTGTGGAACGTCTGGTACTGATTATTGACAGGCACCAGCATTAGGCGCTAGAATATCAAGCAAGTATCAAAATATAAATGGAAGTGTGGATCAAACATTTTTCCACAGCACTACGACATATTCATGTATATGAAAACTTGATGTTGATTAGAGGACATATACAATTTCGTCCATACAATCTGAATCCATTTTTAATGCCGTTGCTCAAACCTAAAGTTTGACTGGCACAAATTTTAGGCTAACATGTATTTGCAAGGGGAGCACTAGACAGCTTCGCATAGGAACATATAGCTGTGAAGCAAGAATCAACTGCTAAGAATTACTGACCTGTAAGATACAATCTTTAGTATTGTTGGGCAAGGGCAACTAATCTAGTTCTCACATATGATGTCAGTATATACTTGGTACATTACTGAATCCTCCTAGGAAGCTGATTTGACATCAATCTCACTATCCACAAGCAATGGATTGAAACCACCTTTGGTAACAGAAACAAAAGTTGATGTAGAAATCTATATCTATATCTATATCTATCTATATATCTTATATTTTCAAACTCCACTATAAGTTCTATCTCAACATGCAAGCCATCCACATCATTTCTCATTTACTATCCACATCATCTCCCACTAATGCCACGTCAGTCCACTAACTTTGAACCTATCAATGCAAGCCATCCACATCACGTCCACCAAGTGCAATTACTATTTTCCATATATAAAAAATATACAAGGCATTCATATATTGTTATTTGTTTTGCCATTCCATCATCTTATAATTCGATCTAATTATTTTAGTTTTTTTATTAAATTCTTTCATTGTCACCCAATTTTGATAAGAATTGATGCAAGAACGTTTAGGTCTAATAACTAATACATGCAACGATTTTGTTTTTAAGACCCGCAGCAACGCGCGGAGTATGCTTCAAGGATAACCAATAGAAAAATCTGGCCACTAACCTGGTACAAAATCAAGAATTAGATAGAGGCAGTCAATCCCAGCAGCAACATCAGAAGAAACTGTCCCACCATCAGGATTTCCAGTGTAAACTTCGTAAATTGAATGACTACACTGATTCACTCCAACCAATGCCCTTTCAATTACTTGTAGAGCTGCATTTAGATGTGTGTTTGATGCAATATTGACAAATTTTCCAAGTACCAGTCGAAGCCTCGATTTCAATGAATTTAATCTATTCTGCATATCAATGAAATCTTTAGTAAAAGCATAACCAGATGCATTCTGTAATTGCAGTGTTTTCGTGCTTGAGCCAATCTCATGAGTAGGAAGAGTTGCATTCTTCCGTTGAAGTAAGATGCATTTTCCAATAGCCCTCAATAGGGCATTTACTATCTGAGTATACAATTCTATTGAGATATTGAGCTCAGGCAATGTAAATGCACTTCCTAAGACTTCAAGATATCTTAATACCCCATCAATCCATACAAGACAAGACATGTGTGGCCAGCTAGACATGTCTGCAACTTTCTGTAGAGTGATGAAAGCTGTCCCAAGCATGGTACCCAATGAAAGCTGTTTGACAGGGCTGCAAGCCTGCCTAGAAACATCACTTGGAAAGGATAGGTAACCGTGCAGCTTAACAATAGCAGCAGATATATTGTATACCTCTCTCAAAGTGAATGATATGATTGGGCATTCACCTTTCAACAGGTTTTCCAGAAGAACATTTTCCATATACTGTATCTTCGACAGATCGACTCCACGACTTTCACACTTTGTCAATTCATCCATGACTGCTTCAATATTCAGAAAACCATTCACACAATCCAGCTCTTGTGGAAGACGAACAGAAACTAAACCTCTAGAGGCAGAATCCTTGTTATCCATAAACAAGACATGAACGCAAATATCTACAAAGGCCCCAAACTTAGCAATACAACTGCTAAATCTTGAACAATACTGAAGTAACATTTTCTTGTCCTCTGAGCTTGCTATTGGATGATCGTTGAATGCACTTTCTAGTGCTAAATTAAGTCCCTGCAAGAATCCGCCTATGCAAGACATGGTGCATGACAATCTTTTCCAGCATACAGCGTTACGGCAGTCTTCTAATTTGATAACACACTTGCCGTCCTTTATGGTAACAGGTATCCCAGTTGCAGTCTTCTGTAACAGTTCGGCCATACTTTTGACACACTCCAAGGCTGATAATTCTACTATATCAAATGTCTGATCATTGTGGCCTGAAGTCTCCCTTTCAATAGGGCTACCATCCAGGGAAGATTCAATTTGTTTCTTTAAATGAAACAAGTAAACTGATGAATTCACACTAGCTAGTGTAGAAAATAATTCTGATGTCTTATCTAACAAGGAGAACATCAACCTATTCACCTCATCAGTACACTCGTCAAATATTTTATGTGACGAACCAAAAATTTCCTTAACAGATCTCAAAAACCAAACCAGGGAATATGAGTTACCATTTTTCTCTGAAAAGGCCAAGTATTGCTTTGCCTCTGGGCACTCTTTCCCGAATTTTATGATGAGATTTATCAGAGCCCTACGACAACATATAAACAAACGCAGTAACTTCACGGGATTGCAGGATTCACAACGAAGACCTAGCAATTTAAGTAGCAGCAATCTGCAAGGAGAGGAAACAATTAATGGGCAGCAAAAGATAAACCAAATGGTCAATATTTCAGATATTAAACGCGCACATTGACACCTATTTTCCATTATTCTTTGGCAAATAACATTTATCACATGAAAAGTTGAGCTTGATTTACTGACTACAGTGGATGAGTAGAAACTAGAGATCGTCAATAAAATCAAACATCAAACTTAATGTTTGTGTTAACAAGGATTTTGGTATGTCATGAAAGCAGTCAACACACAAAAGAAAGAGGGAAAGGAGTGGCTATGACACAGAAGCCATGGATATTGTGTGCCAACAAGAGCCCCATGCACAAGGGGATAAATAAATCCTCACTTTTGCCCTTCCCTTGATAGAAAAGCAAGTCAGAGCAGAGGAATGGTGCTTTGTTGATCCTAAGGCATTGCATCAAAATGCTATTACCACCTTTCCACATCACCTATCAATTAAGGAATTCAAGAAATCTGTAGCAATTCATGTTCAGTTTTTCATAATAAGCACAGCAAAACCTCTTTCCATTGGAGCGAAAAGAGCACCTTTATTTTTTATATTCTCACTGGTAGCCATTAAGTCATCTTCCTATTTGACTTGAGCCCACCCTTTTTAACTAGCAATAGAGATAATGACAGCCAAGGTTACAAAAAGCGCTAGGCGCTCTCTAGGCAGTAACCCTCTGCCTAGATCCTAGGCGCGCCTAGGCATTTTCTAGGCGTTAGCATATACACACATATATATTTTAAGAAAATGGAAAATAGGAGATAAGTGGACCTCATTGAAGAGAAAGGCCCATCAAACAGCCCAAAGCCCAAGTCTGAACCCCACCGACACCTTATCCCTAGGTCTCCTTTGTGCTCAGCTGCCGCCGCTGGTTCCTCTCCCGTATCTCTCACTCCCAGTCTCCTTTAGCCACGCCCAGCCACCGCCCGCCTGCGCCCGGCGCCGTCACCCTCCCGACTCCTCGCTGGCCACCTCCGCCCGACGTCCCTTCCTCCCCCACCGACGCCCAACGTCTACATCACCCCCCCCCACACACACACACACTTGCCTTAGCTGGATCTGCGCGCCTTCCGCCACCACCGGGCTAGCGCCGCCTAGGGTACCGCCTACCCCCCTAGGCTAGGCGGTACTCCACCACCCAGTTGGTAGGTAAAAGAATAAAACATACAATTTCTATCTAACCCTACCTCGGTTAGAGGGCATATTATGCGGCAATATGAGGCTTTTCCAAGTGCAGATAGGAACATAAGCAGACCTATCTTTACTAGCGATACAGGGTGTACCAGAAGTGGGGTGTTCTATAGCAAGCGCAAAAGTGGGAAGAACAAAGATAGAAAGGTTTTGCTGGTGAAGATTTGTATTGTATCCACTCAAAACTTTTCCTGATCCGGTTTAGGTGGTTGAGTTAAGTGCACTTCCCAATCGAAGATTCTCGACTCGTTTCACTTTCTTTCTTTCAGTCTCGCTCTCTTTCTAAAGTCCAGAGGCGAGTGCGGAAGAGTGCCTTGTTGAATACTGATGGCAGCATTAACTATGTGTTTTTGTTGCCATCATCAATAAACATGGTGCTGAACAATACAAAAAGGAAACAGCGAACCGGTTGTTCTAAAATATTTGCCACTTTGACCAAATTAGACAATGCATGTTAACTCCAATTTCCATCATAAGACCAAAAGCGAGTCAAAGTTAAATATTTAGTTAATGAGCTGTGCATATAAAAGTAAACTAGGAGCTGAAAAGGTGTCTAGTATCTGTAAAGAAATCTTTCAGTTGAAAGAGCCTAGTATTTGAGAATGTATGGAGCATCTTTGTTTCTCGGGTGCATGTCATAAAAAAAACTAACCCCGGCCGTGGAACCAGTATGTATTTGTTAACATTTTTTCTACTTATTAACACAACTTCACACAGCTCTTCATCGTTTTCAACAAAAAAAATAATGCATGGAGCATATTATTTTGTCGCCCCTACAGTGGTATTTTATAACTTACACTCCGTTCACAAATACTTGAATCATTTGACTTTAATGGTCTTCATGTGTGTCTTTGACCGTTAATTTCTTCTAGAATATATTCTTAAAATCCTTCATATATAAGAGATTTTGCAAGTATTCTGCGTACAAATCAACACATTTAACTTACACAACTCCAAACTAAATAATAATGTAATAGTCATTGATGTTTGTAGTTTTTAAGGTTTGACTGAATCTTTAGTAAACGACAAGTTTTTGTGACCCTGTAGAAGAAAGCATAGGAATCAAAGCTAGCACAAGTGAGCAAAGTCATATACTTGATACATACCTTTCAAGATGGAGAATATAGTTTATAAGCCGTATGAATGCTTTGGAATTTGCATCAAATCCAGGAACAGCACTAAAAAAATTAAGGAGTTCCTCACAGATCCAGTGTTTGTCTATGCAGTGTGCATGCGTAGCAGCAGAACCTGTACCAATCAACTTCTCATTTTCCAGGTTACTTATTGTCTCCATCAAATCAGGTGAAGTGTCCAAAAGGGCATTATCTTCATCAGAGTTGGTAACAAAAGATAACGATTTCTTCAAAGCATGACAAAAACTTGATGCCAAATTCTTCAAGATTACCTAGAAATATTCATTTCAAATTTGATCAAGTCATTAGGAAAGCATGTGAAACACCCCCAGCTATCAAATATAAAATAAACACTGACAGTCAAATAGTAGATTCAATATTACCAACATACATAGCAATCTTTTCTTGGAATAGAAGGATTACAGTGATAGATACCTTTTGGTCATAAATAAATGTATCACAAAGGACCCCCACAGAAATACTATGCAAAGTCATTTCTCTGTATGAAGATTGAGTGCCATTATTCTCCTCCTTATCCATGGAAGGTCTCTTTTGAGTAAAAGAAAACCTTATCAAATTAGAGAAGAAAATCTTTAAATCCTTCTTAGAGGCATGAGAGTTCCAAATGTCAATGTTTTCACACAGAAGATGCCAAGTGGCTATAGGAAAAGAGCCTTCATCTAAGGAACATAGACTCAAATCCCAGGAACCACTAACTTCGTAAGACCCAAAAGGACCATTTCCTCCTGAAGATAATAGCTTCACATATTTCATCATAAAACTCATCAATTTAGCAGCCTCAAGGCTGCAAGATTCCTTTAATAGTTGAGTGCTTCCTATATCCTTATTATCTAGTTGCCAAGCATCATCTTCAAGCAAAAATTGAAGTGCTTTAATCTGCCTGTTAAGGTCATTGAGTCTCTGCAGAGCCATCACATGAAAGATGTAAACAATTGGAGCAAAAGAAGCACAGTTTCTTGAGAGATACTCTGATAAACTCTCAATAACATCCAAAAGGGAGTTTGAATTTTCAACAATCAATGCAAAATAACCCTTCCCGAGAATATTGGCTGGATTGGTCCACTCCTTTCCTGAGCATACAATGAATGGATTCCCCACTAACTTTGTTGCATCTGTGGCTACATCTGGAGGCATAAGGCCAATACATTGCTGATACAAACTTCTACATGATATATATAGGTGAAAGAACAGGCAAAACATCCAGGAAAAACTTGGGATCTTCTGCCGGTTGGCACGTAGTTTTTTAGATGTAAATTTTCCCATAATTGAGGAAATGAATCCATTTAAATTTTTTGATTCGTTTCCGACCAAGTGACTGAAATTTGGTCTGACTGCATTGACCAACGTTTCAACAGATTTTCCTACCAGTGTACTATTTGAAGCAGTGACAGTTATTGAGTCAAGAACACTAGCATATACTTCAGATAAGTGCCAGCCAAGAAGTTCGGCTTTATGACAAAAAATAGACTTCCTGGCAATGGACGGCTCTCCAAGTTTGTGTAAATCATCTTCCAAACTACAATCTGCCATCCAGTTCAATGTTTCTGTGAGATCCGATGTAAGCTCCTCTATACATCGACTAGACTGCCCTTGAGGCATAGACTTAATTGAAGTACGAATAGCACCCATCAATGTTTCAGAACTCAACAATGTTGTCAATGATTCCAAACATTCCTGGGACGATAAAGAAGCCACAGAAAATGAGCCTTGTACTCCATCAGGGCCATCAACTCTGAATGCTCTCACAGCATCACACAGCCTGAAAATCGAGCGGGAAACCTACAATACGAACCAAAGAGAAAAAATAAACATCAGACCAGAGTAGGGGAAAGAAGAGCGTGCAAGCAGAATGTACAAAGGCACACAAAGTCCACCCAAACATTGGGCTTGTTGTTACACTTGTATGATCTTCTTAGACTCATATCTTCTTAATATAATGATACACAGCTCTCTTGTGTGTTGGAGGCAAAAAAAAAGAGGTCCACCCAAACAACGAACATTGCTCGTTTGCAACCTTATCAAACAATCAAGTGAGAAATTACTGAAAGTAACAGCTGAAAAGTACATAACCAACCTGACGAAGCTCACTGAATGTGCAAATCACTTGGGCTGTGAGGCTTGAAATCTTTGAAGCTAGCAGGAAACAGGGTTTGATGTCCTTGGAAGATGTATTAATTGCAGACAAAGCAAAAATCATTAACCACAATTTCATAAGGTCATCTCCCAGAACTTTGTACTCGATTTCTAGAAAACTGCCAACTGCAGAAATAATCTCTGAGAACATTAAAGGTACTATCTTCTTAATGCTTACATCTTCTAGATGCACAGCAGACATCCAGAACTTGTACATCTTTTCAGATATTGAGATCAAGACAGAGTAAATATCCTGCAAAAAGTTGAAGTAAGATCCTTCCAATGTGTCCTCTGTAGGAACATAGATCTTCTCTTCAATAAGTGTTATCAGCATCACATTAATGGATTTCAGCATCCAATGGACCTCTACTAGCCTTGTCACCCCTAACCTAGAAAAATCCTTTTGAGAATACGATTTACACTCTAACACCATGGGCTCCATAAACTTAATAAACACTTCAAAAAGTGATTCTCTATGTTGTTGTGGTTCTTCAGAACCCTCATTGCTTTTGTGCAGCCGACCCAAAGTTGTTCCACTCAGTGCTACAGTTCTTTGATTTCTAGCTCTCCTGACAAACAATTGAAGTAAGTAACCAAACCCAGCCAGCAATACAGCCTTGTTTTCTGTTTTTATTCCTTTGAATCGCTGAAATAGATGTCTATGGTAGCTTCCTTTGATATCCTTGGCAGAAGAAGATTTATTCAAACTGCTGAGACCGAAATATCCACTAAGGTGTTGGGGATGAAACAGTCCATTTGACAAGACATCTTCAACAACTTTCAACATTGTTCCTGAATGCTTGTGCTTACTGGAATTTGCTTGTGAATTAAGTAAAACTAACAGTTCCAACAATGGCCCTAGAACCTTATCAACAAAAGCATGGAAAATATTCTTCGGATTTGCATAAAATCTCAGGAAGCTTGAGAATTGCCCAAGGAGGCAATTTGCAAGTTTCTGAAGAACAGGGCAGAAATCGTCCTCATTAGCTGAAACCTTCTGGGCAAGATTGATAACCTCAATAGCACACGAGGCCCATAAATCTACACCTGCACTGAAGAAAGCTCTTGTGTTGGAGGAGAAAAGCAATGACATACAGTCAAACACTTGTTCGAAGAGCTCAATAGATTCATTGTCAGCACGTGACCTGTTGCTTTCAACTCTGCCCAAACCATGACTTGCAATACGACTAAGTGATTTAAGTAAGTTCAGAGATATTGGAATGGATGGCTTCTTTTCAACACAAACTCTCAAAATTGCCCAGCATCTACTATCCAATGCTGGATCAAAAGTCTGTAGCATCTTTTTACTATTATCAGGAAAATTTAAGATAGACTGCACCCAGTTTCCAATAAATGACACCAGACGCAATAGCTGAATGCTGTGCGCCTTATGGCCATGGCTCGAGTCATTTGGCAGTGTGGTTAGAAATTCAACTGCTAGCTCAATCTTTCTGCACGAATAAACATGTTGTTATGAAGGTGAGGATTACAAATGAGAAGATTAGAATAGGGTTGATCTAAACAGGATTCAAACAATTTATTCCAGTATATCAGTTAAGTAGCACTAAAATGTTTGCTTCTGTATGAATCAGAGAGATTCCATAGGGTATTCCTGGACATAATATGTAGAATTTGCCCATCTTACTGCTTCTGACATCCCAGAAAGTAATAAGAGAAAGTACTATTCGACATAAATCAATGTGATTATTGTGCAAAATCAACAAATATGAAGCCAAGCTAAAATCTGCCAACAACAAAATTGTATCTCATTAAATCCTATTTGCACTGAACTAAGCAAACCATCTCGTGCATTATTTATGGCAGTAAACAAGTAATACACAATCCTCCATAGCTGAGACGACTAAACCAGCAGACGATGGAAGCATAATCACGAGCTAAAGTTCACCGAAACAGAAGCAGAAGGGTGACCTTTCGAGCGACAGCTCCTTGCTCTGGAGGGAGAGGACGAGGTCGAGGTGTTCCCACGCGCCCTTGGCGCCGCCGTCGCCGTCGAAGCGAAGTCTACCGAGCTTGACCTCGCTCGGACCCTCCCCTTCGCAAGGCGGCGAATGGCTCCGCCGCCGCTTCCTCGCTGCAGCCGTCTCCATGGCGATGGCGTAGCGCAACAGCGGAAGTGGAAGCTAGGGTTCTGGGTTTTGGGACACGACGCTTGTTGCCCCGCCCCGTTTGTTTGTTTGTTTGTTTTTGAGAAACGTCGCCCACTCCGTGCTCGAAGACGCGCCGTGAAAGCCGCGTCCGACCAGTCTAAAGCACGAATCTTAAAGATAGCTAACAAGACCGGCTCACGGTCACGGCGTCTGATGAAATAGGCTTCGACTCCGGCCCCGGCCCAACCCAGAGCATTCTTGGTCCTGAACTCCTGATTTCAGGTCCAGGGTTCCAGGCAGAAGCTACAAACCCTAACCCATCCGGAGCACAGGAAATTTTTGAGGCTGAAGCGGAAGGGGAGAAGACGATGACGACGAGGGAGCCGCACGAGGCGTCCCGGCGCGACGGGCGCGACTCGCACGGTAGGCGCCCCCACTCCTCGTCCAGGTCGCGGAGGGATGATCCCAGGTACCAATCCGCTGCACCCCCATCGGATTTCCGATCTGACTGCGTTTTGGTATATGGATTAGAATGCTGGTTTTAGGGGGCATCATCGATTCTTTCTGGGACCTGCAGTTTCTTACAAGATAGCAATTTTTCTGAATCTCTTTTGTAGCCCAAGGAGAAGAAGAGATGACAGGAGGCGTGAATCGGACAGGTCGCACTACAGAAGTCGAGATGAAGAGTCTGCGGAGGTGGCGGACCATGATCAGAAGCGGAACAGAGATATTGCGCAGGGCGATGATCCTCCGAATGCTGAGTCGAAGCCAGCGAGTGATGTGAAGAATGGCCCCTCCACCAGGCATGAGAGATCACCTAGGGGAACCAAACGATTTTCTGAGTCGAGAGAGGCATGGCGGCCTCGGTCTTTCTTTCAGGTTCTTGTCTTTTCTCAGTTTACTGTATTATAAAAGGGAATGTCACCAATAGCTTCTGCTCTCTGTTTCAATTCAAATTGTTTCATAGCTACAATTAGTGTGCTTTCACTATCACAGCCTGGATACATTTTGTGCTCGTGGTGTTACGGAGCTGTCATCTTGGATAGCTGAACAGCAAGTATTTTATGGAGCTGTCATATTAGATCGCTGAACAGCAAGCATTCCACATTTGGTAACTTCAACGGTGCTGGAGAATGTACCTAGCAGATTTGTGCTATTAGGAAGATTCATGGGTCAATATTTGCTGGTGGTCTGGAGCGCAAACCTCCCGGTTATGACAGCCCTGGTCACTACTGCAATTGTGTGGAGTTTTGTCTAATAACAAATAGGGCCCTTTGATAGTAGAGACATTTAGTCTGCTCAAAACATTGCAAGTATTCCATGTTGTTGTTATTCTGAAAAATCTGAATATCTTCTATATATTTATTTTATTCTCAGAACTCAGATTTTCGGTTAAGGACTTCTGAGTTTTGTGCTAAGGGGCTCTGGAGTAAGGATGATTTTGTAGTAAACTTTATTCCCTCCGTCCCTAAATAGGTGTCGTTCTCGCTTTCCGAGGAGTCAAACACTTCTAACTTTGACCAAATATATACAAGAAAATATTAATATTTATAGTACATAATTAGTATCATTAGATAGATCGTCAAATCTATTTTCATAATAAGCTTATTTGGAGATACAAAGGTTGCTAACATTTTCTATAAATCTAGCGACACTTATTTAGGGACGGAGGGAGGAGTACCTGTTAAGATTGTGGCATGCTTTGTTGTTTTATGGGTGTGCGCTATTTGAAACGACGGCCTTAGTAAATTTGACTTTGGGACATGATAGTATTATTTCTTGCTGGTTTGAATGAGTGATACATCAGCTACATGTTTCTGTATTTTAAGTACATGCAATTGCATAGGTAATTTAGTTTATATAGTTGAAGCTCAACTGTTCAAACTTGGAGATTTTGTTTTGTGTCATATAGTTTCTATGCGACTCTTGTTGGGTTTCATTTTCATTTAGCCAATCCCGACATGCTTGAGATGAAAAGGCTTTGTTGTTGTCTACATATAATTTCATTTTAAAATGGATTTGTGTTATCATATCTAGAATGTAGAAACCGGCATTTGAGACGATCAGCTTAAATTAGTACCCATAGCTTCATTTTCCCCCCCATGTTTAGTTCAAATATTCATTAGTTATGCTCTGTTTGTGATTATGTGTGAATCTGTTGTTGCATTTCAGTGATTTAATTTCATGAAATGCAGTTTTAGTGTACAGATTAATTAGATTCATGGACATGGTTTGCCAGCTTTAGCTAACAGGACTATACTTGTTTTAATTAATGGTTACAAGTAACAACTGTAACCTTCGTATGCATCTTTTTTAGAGTCGTTTGAAGTGGGGAGGTAGGTTTCAGCATAAAGAATGTTATTAGGTCATTGCTAAATCATAGAAATTTTTCGTCCACTTGTCATACATAAATAACACATTCCTCCTGATGTAGTGGGACTTCTTTTATGACACATTGATTCAAATGCCCACTGTTTGTAACAATGTTAGACTACCTGTGCTTCTATGTACAGCACAATGAGCGTGGAAGTGCTGGGCAAGGTGGTCAGCACTATGACCGCCAGGCTAGTGGTGAGCTGCCTTCTTAGTTTATGCTTTGTGCACTTATTTAATTCTCCATCCTCTATCCATGCTAAGTTATTTATTGTTTATAAGACTATGGAAGGCAAAGGGAGCATCTCTCTGATAGAGATAAACAGAAGACCGAGGGACACAGTTTGCAAGGAAAGGTTGAGCTGGACCAGCAAAAGAAGGATGGTGATTCAACATGGAAGCATGATGGATTTTTCCAATTGGAGGAAGAAGCACCCCTTGCCAAGAAGAGGCCACCATTTCAGGAGATGAAGATACAAGAATCTGCTGCCACTGTAACAGAACCAGATTCTAGATCAAGGAAACTTGATCAGCCTGGACTAACTTCTGCAATGAGAGAAGAAAGGAGAAATTATAACGCACGAGGATTTGGAAATCATCGACCGTTCCTAAGGCCAGATGATCGAGGCTTCAGAAGGGGGTTTCCTGACCACAGGAGTGATGGCCAGAGAAATGGGTATGATTCAAGTGGAAGATTTCCTGGTAGGGGAGGAATGGACAGAGACAGGTTTAACAACCCATATGGTGGGAGAAGCAACGTAGAGCAGGCTTCTGGTGATCAAGAAGAAAAATGGAAGCATGACCTCTATGATCAGACAAACAGGAGCCCGCCTCCAAAGACTGAGGAAGAGCAGATTGCAAAAGTTGAAGCGCTGTTGGCACTGTAGCTATCGTCTCTACGTCTGGAGTTATTTTTGTGTGATGATAGATTATCATGTACTTGGTTTCAGTTGTGTTGAATGCTGTCTTTTTTATTCAATGTATTTTGCATATCTATGGGGATTAAGACACCTTATGAAGTAATTCCATTTGGACTGACAATATTGTACTAGACTATCATGAGTTTCGTAACGTAGAACCATCAAGGAAAAGTACAAGACAATCATGAGTTTCGTAAGTAAACAATTTGCTCCTCGACTGCGTTTAGAGCTAAATTGCTTATTTACTGTGTTAACCTCATATTGTATAGTTTGGTGTGGTGGTGGGATGTGTGTGGTGGGGGGGGGGGAGGGGGGGGGAGGGCAGGCCCCTGTGAACGTGAAATCTCCACTGAAATTTATTTTTTTTATTTAAAAAAACACTGTTGGCCCTCACTGCCATTCAAAAAAAATTAACTTCCTGGCTCAGCCACTTCCTTTTTCTCACGCAAGCTCACTATCACAAATCTATGCCAAAAAAAAGTGAGTAGAGAAGGTGAGATGGGAGCAATGAATGAGTTGGATGGGATATTGCAATCCATGGATATTGGGATAAGGATATCAATGATGTATATTTGGTTGGATGGATGAAAGTGGATGAGATTATAATAGTTGTCTAATTATATCTATTATTTAAAAATAATAACAACTAATTAGACACTAATAAATATGCACTAATACTAATTTTGCCATGAAAATCACTAATTTAAAATAAATATGTTAATTAGCACAGCTAATAACCTAATTAGCACACGAAACATGCACTAATCAACTTATTAGCACTAATCAAACTAATCCTACCATCATAATTACTAATTAATAATATAACATACTAATCATCTTTAATTTATATTTACTAATGACAAAGATTAGAAGACATGGATAAACTGGTTCGCGGGATTTTTACGAACCAGGAAATCCAACATCTGAAGGTATATTTCATATCTATAGTTTTATTGGTCCCAGTGATTCATCCAACCAAACACCATAGATCCATGGGTGATCCAATCCTATCCAAACAAATCTAATAACCAACCAAACACATCCTAAATACTCCCACCCAGTCACTTTTTTCAGACAAAGCTACGTCAAGGTGCCAAGATCTCGATGGACATAAATAAAACCACTGAAAAGTTGATATTAGAAATGGGTTTAGAAATTTTTTTGGAATACTCAGCTCAGCTCAATTCAAATTAGACCTACATTTCTTTTATCCCCATTACTCTCCATTCTAATTTATAAGATTGACTTTTCTACATACATAGTTTTCGCTATGTGCGAACGAGTTAATAGCTCAGTTGGTAGCGACCTCGTCGTGGGAATATGTAACATCTCTGGTGTTATGAGCTTGCTTAGCACCTAGGTTAAGGTTAACGAAAGATAATTTTTGTAAACAAAAACAAAATATAACTTGTATATAGTGCTTATGTAAAAATGATGAGCAAATAGTGTAGATAAGAATGCAACTTTAGGTTTGGAAAGAGAATAGTGTTAACCAGTGTTTTGGGAGCTCAAACATTGAATCCAAAAATTAAACTAAACTTTCCTTTGAATCGACAAGAAATTGAACTTAGGTTACGAACATCATTTTTAGTGAATTATATTGAGCAAAATAGTAAAAAAGTGCTTAAATGTTTTGCACCTATGGGTTAGCATGTAGTATGGGCTATTGAGTGAAATATTCATGGGTTGAAATTAATAAGGTTTAGACATATTAAAAATTGCAACAAAAAGTGCTAATGGTTGTTAGTTCTAACCAAACCTTGTCCTCTTCTAAGTCTGGAAATGATAGTAGACAATGTCGTTTTGACACTCAAATTCTAACCAAATTGTTTAAACACTAACTTCATGTTCTCGTATTGTTGGTTGCCTCTAAGTGGGTACTTTCGCATGGTGTAGTCCACGGTTGAGTTGGAGTTGTCGTGGCGTCACAAAAATTGCCCTAACATCCTAAGAACGTGCTGTGGCCACGCTGTTGGAGCTCCGTTCATGGGCCAGCACTCAGTGTGACGAACTCACGTTGGCACCTCTCTATCTCCCTCGTTGGTCACCCTCCGACCGTGCTTGTTGCCTGGATACGAAGCCCTTAGGGTCTACTAGAATCTTAAGCTTTTGTTTTAATCTCAACCGAGCTCTAATCGGTTGATTTTCACGCTTTTAAGATCTGTGCACGACATCGCCTCGGACTGGTTGGCGGGGTGTGCGTGGTCATCGCACTCGGGGTAAGACGTCACGCATTGGTGCACCCATCGCCGCACGCGCGCACCACATCGCGCGTGGCCTTGTCGGTGGTCGTCTCGTCGTCGCCCCGTGCTACGCGTCGGGCCGAGCCAACCACGACCACCGTTGTCGAGCCGGTCGAGCTGTGCCTTGGCCTTGCGTGCGCACGAGCACTGCGCCGCCGCGCTGCGTCAGTGACGCTGCTACGCGATCGTGCTGTGAGGCGTTGTCGTGATGCCATTGTCGCTTGTTCCCCGTTGTCGCTGCGTGCACGCGCCACCTTGAACGCTGAGCCGCGCACGGGGTCAAGCCAAGGCTGTGGCCATCGTTGCCATGCTCACGTGGCGATCGCCCCACCCTACGATTCACCTACCGCGGGTCTGTGTCGCTACCCACCGCGTCTGGGTCAACCAACCCCAGCCACAGGGTGATGGTGATGTAACATCCCGGCCCAGGGCTTAACAGAATTAATATGATACTCATACCAATAAGTTGCAACTTTTTTTCCGGAAGCCCATCTGCAAATAACTCCGAGGTTAAGCGTGCTTAGCCTGAAGCGATGGGTGACCGACCGGGAAGTTCTTCCCGGGTGCGCACGAGTGAGGACAAAGTGCGCAGAAAAAGACCTGTATTGGTCTGTGAGGGCAGTCTATGTCCTAGTTAAGCTGCTAGATGTAAGCGGGCCTAGCCTCGGAGAGGTGGGACGTTACAGAATGGTATCAGAGCCGACTCTCACGGTTTCACGGGCGCGTGTGTCGCAGTTGCGCAGGCATGGTGCGCATGACTGGTGTGGATCCGGCGTGGTCACACAGCATGGCACATGTGCTGGCTCTAGACACACGGACGTGGCCAAGAGAGGACGCTCCTGGCTTGGGATTGATCGACGAGGACGTCGATCTCTTAAGGGGGTGAGGATGTAACATCCCGGCCCAGGGCTTAACAGGATTAATATGATACTCATATCAATAAGTTGCAACTTCTTTTCCGGAAGCCCATCTACAAATAACTCCGAGGTTAAGCGTGCTTAGCCTGGAGCGATGGGTGACCGACCGGGAAGTTCTTCCCGGGTGCACACGAGTGAGGACAAAGTGCGCAGAAAAGACCTGTATTGGTCTGTGAGGGCAGTCTATGTCTGTCGATGCGGGACCCACAGGATACCCCACAAGAGAGAGAGAAGATCTAGTTCAACTAGGATTCTTCCCATGTAATCTTAGTAATAGAACTATTAAGTAATCCTACTAGGAAATCTCATTGTAAACCGACTAGGACTCTGGCCTCCTGACTATATAAAGGAGGGCAGGGCTCCTGAAAGAAGGACAATTGTACAACATAACACTTCATAATCAATCCAACGCAAAAGGCAAATGCTGACTGGACGTAGGGTCGTTACTCGATCTACGATCGAGGGCCTGAACCAGGATAAATCGACTGTCTCTTGCGTTTACCATCGAGTTCAGCATACGCCGAAGCCCAAACATACTGCCCCGGGTACCCCCGTGGCAGGCTATCGGTGGTAAAACATCGACAGCTGGCGCGCCAGGTAGGGGCCTTCGGCGACTTTGCATCCGAGACCTCGATGGACCTCAACAACATGATCTTCCCGATGGGATCGATTTTCATCTTCGGCTCGTGGATCTGCGAGGCGGACAACTACGGCAAGCTTCAAGGTCATCTCCTTAAAGATCCGGATCATCATGAAGAATCCTCTATTTCGACAACTATGACGGATCAGCTCATCAGAAGATTCGCGCAGCCCATAATACCCGATTCGAATAAGATTCCACGGCTACACACATCCGACTCGAATTCAAGCTCCGTATCCGAGATGAAGTCCTATTCGAGTGCTTTCGAGAAGTCGAGTTCCTTTTTGGCAAGATTCCATAGCACAACCCAAAACAACTCGGATTACCCTCAGAATTCTTTCAAAAGGCCGAGTTCTTTTCCATTTGGGCTTGACAACACGAAAAAATCCTATCAGGGACAGTTTGAAAGGTCTTTCAAATCAACACTTGGGATACCACTGACAGGAGCTCAGGAGGGTCTCGTACTAACGATAACATCGCAAGACTGTATCATCCACTGGCCAGGATCCGTTCCTGAGGATAGCGGAACCCAACTAGTCGGCACAACAACAACAGCTACTCTACCTTACCAAGAGGGAGACTCAATCTACGACGACGAGGCGCATACTAAAGTCATCAGCAACTCCGACAGTATGAAAACTAACAACAATAACGGAACGGCTCACGCACGAGAAGTGCTCATGGTTCGGCGCCCCTCGGTCACCATTAAACCCCGAAGCACCCGATGTCGAGGTCATCGATGAATCGAATCCAACATATCACCCTTTGCTCGAGGCTACGATGGAGAAACCGAGAGTCGAGACAAAGCTAGAGAAAGGAAAAACAAGTTGAAACAAAGAGGCCAAAGACTGCGCGCTCGACAACAGAGAGAAGCTCTGGACCAGATATGAGTCGAATTGGTGAATACGACAAAAGAAAATCACAACAAGAGGTCGAAGAGAGCATACGGTGAGTACGCCTTACGATAAGATTCGAGAAGCATTAGAAGAACTCGGGGCAACTTCACATCACGGAGAGAAGTACGAACAGCTCCAGGACTTGCTCGGTCAACGATCCCAAGAACGCATGAAGAGAGAACCCGATCAAGACTACCCGCCGGATCAACAACCCGTAGAGCAAGAAGATCAAAATCAAAGGAAGTCCGCTTTTGAAAGACTTGGACCAAAG